GAGCTCAAGCGATCTGCCTGCCTCAGCCTCCCAAAATGCTGGGATTACAGGTGTTAGCCATCATGCCCAGCTGACATAATGTTTATATACCATTCTTTTATATTTATTTTCATCATTGTTTCTCTTAGTTCTATAACTGAATATAAATGTTCATCATTTACATTTTGTCGATGTTTCTGCAGTTACTCTTAGATGCATGAAGCTCATTCGAATCCTCAGGAAGAACAAATATGTGTACAGTATTCCAAGTTCTTATACTTCCAAACTTTTTTTCTCTAGCTTACATATGTGACATCTTGGCTTGGCATAAAATTTTTGTTTCATGCCTCCTTTCATCGAATTTCTTGAAAATGATGTTAGTGTTATCCTGCTTTGCATGATGATTTTACGAAGTCTGATGCCAGTCTATTTCTCTTGCCCTTGATAAATATTTCATCTTTTTGATTAAGGAACTGAGGATTTTTCCTTGTCTCTAAAGTCTAAGAGTTGTACTAAAATATGTCTTGATTATTCTAGGTCAATTTTCCAGACACCTGGAAAGCTCTTTCAGTATATAGATTCAAGGCTTATTTCAGGGAAATTTTCTTGTATTATAGTTGTTTTGTTTGTTTTGAGACAAGGTCTCACCGTCACCCAGGCTGAAGTACAGTGGAACAACCACGGCTCACTGCAGTCTTGACCTCCTGGGCTCAAGCAATCCTTCTGCCTCAGTCCCGAGTAGCTGGGACATAGGTGCACATCACCAAGCCCAGTTAATTTTTGTACTTTTTGTAGATGAGGTTTTGCTTTGTTGCCCAGGTTGGTCTCGAATTCCTGGGCTCAAGTCATCTACCCACCTTGGCCTTCCAAAGTGCTGGTATTATAGGCACGAGTCAGCATGCCTGGCTAGATTTCGGTTTTCTTTTTTCTTTTTTTTTTTTGAGATGGAGTCTCACTCTGTCTCCCAGGCTGGAGTGCAGTGGCACAATCTCAACTCATTGCAACCTCCGTGTCCCAGGCTCAAGCGATTCTCCTGCCTCAGCCTCCTGAGTAGCTGAGACTACAGACTTGCACCACCACGACTGGCTAATTTTTGTGTTTTTAGTAGAGACAGGGTTTCACCATATTGGTTAGGCTGGTTTTTAACTCCTGACCTCGTGATCCGCCTGCCTCGCCTCCCAACGTGCTGGGATTACAGGTGTGAGCCACTGTGCTTGGCCCGGATCATAGCTTTTAACACTACTTCTGTCTCAGTGATTTGATTGTCTTCTTCCAGGACTCTATTATATGTAATATGGGGGTATTCTTTGCCTTTTTTCTAATTCATCTACTTTCTGGCTTTTTATACTTATTTTTATTTTCATGTTTTTTGTTTTGCTTTGTTTCCCAGCCTTCCTTTTTAAAGCCCATTCTTAAATTTTCACTTGAAATTATTTTCACTTGGGTATCTTTAAAACTTCATTTTCAATATATTTTTCTTCTCCATTTTTTCTGAGTTCAAGCATTTGTCATTTCCTTTCTTCCTGCTTGTCCACTGTGATTCTTAGTTTGAATTCCCTTTTTTTTTTTTTCTTTTTGAAACAGGAGTTTTGCTTCACTCTGTTGCCCAGGTTGGAGAGCAGTGACATGATCTTGCCTGACTGCAAACTCTGCCTCCCAGGTTCAAGCGATTCTCCTGCCTCCGGCTTCCAAATAGCTGGGATTACAGGCATCTGCCACCACATCCAGCTAATTTTTTTATATTTTTAGTAGAGATGGGGTTTCATCATGTTGGTCAGGCTGGCTTTGAGCTCCTGACCTCAAGTGATCCACCCGCCTCGGCCTCCTAAAGTGCTAGGTTTTACAGGCATGAGCCACAGCGCCTGAATTCTTTATTCATGCTACTTTTTCATACTTTCAAATGCTTCTTTGAGGATATTTAATTCTTATTTATTTTTTCAAGAGGGAGTCTCACTATCGTCATCTGGGCTCACCGCAACCTCCGCCTCCCAGGTTCAAGCGATACTCCTTCCTCCGCCTCCCAAGTAGCTGGGATTACAAGCATGTGCCACCATGTCCAGCTAATTTTTGTATTTTTAGTACAGATAGGGTTTTACCATGTTGGCCAGCCTGGTCTCAAACTCTTCACCTGAAGTGATTCGCCATCCTCGGCCTCCCAAAGTGCTTGGATTATAGGTGTGAGCCACTGCACCTGGTCTTAATTCTATTTAGCGTCTACTCACTGTAAACAATTTACTTCATGGTTTGTTCTAGGGGGAAGAATTTTCACTGGCTGAAATATTTTGATTAATGTTTCTGTTTTTTTCTTTTTTGAGACAGAGTCTCAACCCTGTCGCCCAGGCTGGAGTGCAATGGTGAGATCTTGACTCACTGCAACCTCCGCCTCCTGGGTTCAAGCGATTCTCCTGCCTCAGCCTCTTAAGTAGCTGGGATTACAGGAGTGCACCACCACTCCCAGCTAATTTTTGTATTTTTAGTAAAGACAGGGTTTCACCATGTTGGTCAGGCTAGTTTTGAACTCCTGAATTTGTGATCCATCCGCCTCGGCCTCCCAAAGTGCTAGGATTAAAGGGGTGAGCCACTGCGTCCCGCCATGTTTTTTTCTTACAGTCATTTTTTAATGGAAGTGGACTGTTTTTTAATATTCCTTTTCATTTTGTGAATAGGGTTTAAGTGAAACAGTTAGTTCAGGGAAGTATAGTTTCTTTCTTCTGTTTTTTTTTTGAAGTACAAATGGATGAGGATGGTGGTGAAGGAAAGCGAAAAAGAGAGGTTGGCATGCTTTCATTTTGACGCAATTCTTAATTTTCTTCTCTTGCTTCTAAACCAAGTTTCCAGAGTTGGCTAATTCTCCCCTATAAGTAATGATTCTTTGAGGCTGTTACTTCTGGTACCACTGACATTCAAACCTCTTCCCTATAACTAGTTATGTAAACTACCAAGATCCAGATTATTTTGCTACTTATTATTGGATTTTCTCTTTCTGGGAGTGATTTTCTTCAGTGCTTCATCTAAGTCCTCTACTGTAAATTATTTTTCATGGAATCCCTTAAGCCTCCTGTCCCTAACTCTTAGCAACCATAGGCTTAAGCAGTAGAAAATGGGAACACCGCAGGAATTCGGTTTGCTTCTCTACTTAAGAAGGTAACTTAAAGGTGGAGGTATTGTCTCTAGCAACGCTGAAGCATAGACTATGTGTGCTTTTCTTTGTACTCTTCATTAATTTTATGTTTTCTGGAGGATTTGTGAGGAACACTGCAATTAGGCAGCCTTCATTATCCTTTAGACATGGTAGTTTTCTACTCAGTTGTTGTTGTTGTTGTTGTTTTTAAAGGAGTCCTGAGTCCTGAGTACTTACACGGCTTGACATACTATACTATAATTCCTGGAAGAAGTCTAAAAAGAGGAAAGATGTATTTCTAGAGATGGGTATAGGTACTATACAGAAATGAAATAAACACTGGAGGAGCCTAGAGCACCAAGGGTGGCAACTCATGAGGCTGTCAAAAGAGTCCGAAGGAGGTGAATAACAGAAACTACAAGTAAACTATAAAATTTACAAGAGAATGCAATAGGAAAATGAAACAAGTAAGATTAGGGTAGACAGAGACAAAGACCCAGATGAAGAATGGTCACAAAATGGGATAGATAAAACCAATATAAAATGTTGTCTGGTTAGGAGACAGTAAGACAACTGAGGTAGAACGATTAGAATGAAAACAAAAAAAAGGAAACTAAGCATTTGACTGGAAAGCAAACATTATAGAATAATAGAAAAGATGAAGATTAGAGAAAGCAACAGGTAAGCAGAGAGGAGAGTGAGTTGTTTTCACTGAAAATTTTACGATGTTTTCTGCTAATATATGAAGAATATAAACTACTATGAATAAGCCATTTGGCAAATACTACTTATTCAAGTAAACTGCTAAGTATAAAGCTGGTATAAAAGCAGTACTTTGAGTGAGATTATAAACAAATAAGTTGGTAGGTTCTAAGAGAGCAATTTGGGAAAAATAATTAAAAATTTCAAACTGCCTTCCTTAGTCTTAATCTTCAACAATTTTACTTCCAATAATTTTCCTATAGAAAAATTCCAACAAGCATTAAAAACATACATGTGTATAACTATGTTCATTCTAGCTGGATTATATTTGGAAAAAAGGGAAAGCTAAATGTACATTTATATGGTTGAAAGTTCTCTATTAATATACAAGGGTGTCAAGATTAATGTGCAGTGAAAAAGATAACAAAGAAGCAATATAGCATAGTGATTAAGAATGTAATCAGAGCCCAACTATCTGGATTTACTACTGTACTACTGACTATATCACTTTGAGCAAGTTAATTAACTTTGGTAAGCTTTATTCATAAAAGCAGATTTTTAATGTATCTATCTCAAAGACTTTTAAGAATTTTAAAGAAAAGAAAATCAATTTAAATAAACACTTAGCACACAATATCTGGCACATAATAAACACTGTAGGTAACAGAGCTACTGGCCAGGCACAGTGGCTCATGCTAGTAATTCCAGCACTTTGGGAGGCTGAGGTGAGAGGATTGTTTGAGGCCAGGAGTTCTACCAACCTGCAAAATGGTGAGATCCCATTTCTATTAAAAAAAACAAAAAATTAAAAAATTAAAAAGAAAGCTATTATAATTACTACAGGTATTATACTATGATCTCATTTTGTGTTTAATAAATATATAACCATGAAGAAACTAGGGAAGATATACAAACAATGTTGAAAGTATCTCAGCAGTAGAATGAAGAGTACTGGGTTGGAAAATACACATTTTCTGCCTTAAAATGACTATTATATATATTTCAAAGTTCTAAAATTGTTTGAAGAACAGATAATGGAGCTAACATTACTTATGGATATAATAAAGCTTCAACAAGTGATCTAATTTAGAAATATTCTAGAACTTTAATGTGACTCCTTTAATCATGTTTTACACCAAAGCTCACTTCTATTGAATCGCTTTATAAAAAAGAAACTAAAATGAAAGAATTGGCCTACCCTTGCAGTTGCTGCTGTTGGTGAGAGGAGAGGGGCACTCTTGGTTTATTCCAGCCAGTGTAATCCTGGTTACACCTCAGTTTCTTAACAGAAAGAGGAGCTGGCTGAGGAAGAAATCCCAAACTTCGTTTGGCGGAGGGAGTCTGGCTTGAAACATTAGTCCTATTAAAAAAGCATAAATAACGAAGACATAAAATAAATGTTTGAATACTACTATTTTCCCGGAAAAGGTTAAGAGAAGTCAATGTTTAGGGGAAAAAAATCTTGAATTTAGGGACATATCAGTAATTTAATGATCACTTAAGGGAAAACTCTACAAATGTAAATTAGCAAATCTGTTGCTATACAGTTGAAGAGGGTTATAATACAGAACATATTTAACCTACAACCAAAATAATGCAAGTTGATGGCTTGAAAAAACAATATATAGTTTCACTATTACCCATTTTGTGGATGTTACATTAGTTTGCCTAGTCTTGAAGAGATTTACAGTATGCTTTTCCTACTGTTACAAATAACACAACAAACAGGTCGGGTGCAGTGGCTCATGAGGTCAGAAGTTAGAGACCAACCTGACCAACATGGAGAAACACCGTTGCTACTAAAAAATACAAAATTAACCTGGCGTGGTGGCACACGGCTGTAATCCCAGCTACTTGGGAGGCTGAGGCAGAAGAATCACTTGAACCAGGGAGTCGTAGGTTGCAGTGGGCCAAGATTGCGCCACTGTACTCCTGCCTGGTGACAGAGTGAGACTCTGTCTCAAAAAAAAAAAAAAAAAAAAAAGATTTACTTTTCTATAAGGCAAACCAATTGCTCCCAAATTACTTATTGTTTGTCTAGACCATGTGTTAGTGGCTGTTTGTTTTTTTACGGAAAAAAAATTTGTATGCCAGGCACAGTGGCTTATACTTATAATCCTAACACTTTGGGAAGGTGAAGCAGGAGGATCAGGAGTTTGAGACCAGCATGGTCAACATATCAAAATGCTGTCTCTATAATCAGATGTTACAGACTGATCTTGCATTTTTTTCTGTCCTAGCCCTGGAATCAACTATTAGTTCGAAGAGCTCTGCTTTCTTGTACTGATTAATGGCATTTAAAAATCAGGGGGCCGAGTATAGTGGCGCACACCTGTAATCTCAGCACTTTGGGAGGTCAAGGTGAACGGATCACGAGCTCAGGTGATCGAGAACATCCTGGCTAATGTGGTGAAACCTCATCTCTACTAAAGAAAAAAAAACCCAAAAATTAGCTGGGCATGGTGGTATACACCTGTAGTCCCAGCTACTTGGGAGGCTGAGGCAGGGGAATCACTTGAACCTGGGAAGTGGAGGTTGCAGTGAGCCGAGATCATGCCACTGCACTCTAGCCTACCAACAGAGTGAGACTCCATCTTAAAAAAAAAAAAAAATAATAATAATAATAAATCACGGTCTGCAAGCTACCATTGACTTTCTTCATACAATCAGAAAAAAGCTACTTTAAATTTCATATGGAACCAAAAAAGAACCTGTACAGCCAAGACAATTGTAAGCAAAAAGAACAAAGATGGAGGCATCACTACCTGACTTCAAACTGTACTACAAGGCTACAGTAACCAAAATAGCATGGTACTGGTTATCAAAACAGATATATAGACCAATGGAACAGAACAGAAGCCTCAGAAATAACACCACACATCTACAACCATCTGATCTTCCAAAAACCTGACAAAAACAAACAATGGGGAAAGGATTCCCTATTTAATAAATGGTGCTGGGAAAACTGCTAGCCATATGAAAAAAACAGAAACTGGACCCTTTCCTTACACATTATACAAAAATTAACTCAAGATGGATTAAAGACTTAAACGTAAAACCTAAAACCATAAAAACCATAGAAGAAATCCTAAACGATACCATTCAGGACATAGGCATGGGCAACGATTAATGTTCTAATGTTCGTGACTAAAATACCAAAAGCAATTGCAACAAAAGCCGAAATTGACAAATAGGATCTAATTAAACTAAAGAGCTTCTGCACAGCAAAAGAAACTATCATCAGAGTGAACAGGCAACCTACAGAATGGGAGAAAATTTTTGCAATCTATCCATCTGACAAAGGTCTAATATGCACAGTCTACAGGGAACTTAAATTTACAAGAAAAACAAAAAAAATCCCATCCAAAAGTGGGCGAAGGATATGAACAGACACTTCTCAAAAGAAGACATTTACGCAGCCAACAAGCATGTGAAAAAAAGCTCATCACTGGGCATTAAAGAAATACAAATCGGCCGGGCATGGTGGCTCAAGCCTGTAATCCCAGCACTTTGGGAGGCCGAGGCGGGTGGATCACGAGGTCAAGAGATCGAGACCATTCTGGTCAACATGGTGAAACTCCGTCTCTACTAAAAAAATAGAAAAAATTAGCTGGGCATGGTGGCGTGTGCCTGTAATCCCAGCTACTCAGGAGGCTGAGGCAGGAGAATTGCCTGAACCCAGGAGGCAGAGGTTGCGGTGAGCCGAGATCGCGCCATTGCACTCCAGCCTGGTTAACAAGAGCGAAACTCCGTCTCAAAAAAAAAAAAAAAGAAATACAAATCAAAACCAGAATGAGATACCATCTCACACCAGTTAGAATGGTGATCATTAAAAACCCAGGAAACAACAGATGCTGGTGAGGATGTGGAGAAATATGAACACTTTTATACTGTTGGTGGGAGTATAAATTAGTTCAACTATTGTAGAAGATGGTATGGCGATTCCTCAAGGATCTAGAACCAAAAACACCACTTGACCCAGCAATCCCATTACTGGGTATATACCCAAAGGATTATAAATCATTCCACTATAAGGACACATGCACACATATGTTTACTGCAGCACTATTTACAATAGTAAAGACTTGGAACCAACACAAATGCCCATCAATGACAGACGGGATAAAGAAATTGTGGCACATATACACCATGAAATGCTGTGCAGCCATAAAAAAGAATGAATCCATCCCCTTTGCAGGGACATAGATGAAGCTGGAAATCATCATTCTCAGCAAACTAACAGGAACAGAAAACCAAACACTGCATGTTCTCACTCATAAGTGGCAGTTGAACAATGAGAACACACGGAAACAGGGAGGGGAATATCACATACTGGGGCCTGTCGGGGGATGGGGAGCAAGGGGAGAGAGAGCATTAGGATGAATTCCTAATGCATGCAAGGATTAAAACCTAGATGACGGGTTGATAGTGCAGCAAACCACTATGGCATATGTAATACCTAGGCAACAAACCTGCACATTCTACACATGTATCCCAGAACTTCAAATAAAAAGATAAAAAATCAGGGTTGGCCCTAGGGGTGCTGTTACTTGGATGTGATTGCTTCAAGGCCCCTACCAGTGGACTGGGCTAGGAAATATATGCATGTAACTTAAGACATACAAATGCATATGTTAATTTTGAATCAATCTATACATGTATATACATATATAAAACCTTGAGTTCACATTGATATCTCTGATTCCAATTGAACACTAAGAGTTCATACCAGCTTTCTTCCTTTCCTTATTTCTTTCTTTCTCTGATGTGGCAAGCCTGGATCTCAATATCTACAATGTTTACTTGTTCAATACAAGTATATATATGAGGTGGTTTCAAGATTGCTAATGCTACACTCTCATGAAAAACAAACTACAAACTAGAGTACATTATTTGTGTACTCATGAATTTTTGATATATTGAAGTCTAATGTTAGCTGATTCTTTTACCTTTTCCTGGACAATAAAAAAACACTAGGAACAATTTAACTCCATTCATTTATTCTGTGTCTTCCTTCTTCCCTTCTGGTTTATGTTATTGCTATCATTTAAACCCAACAAGATATTACTATTGTTTTGTACGAGTTTATCGAGATAGACAGCGTTTATCAAGTTAGACAGCATATTAACTATTTTTTGTTGCTCTTCATCCTTCCTGAAGCTCCAACCTTTCATCTTAGTTATTTTTCCATCTGCCCAAAAACTATTCTTTAGCATTTTCTTTAGCACATATTTGTGGGTGAACTTTGTTATTATTTTGTTTTGTATGATAGTGTCTATTTCACTTTTACTTCAAAACTATAGGGTATTTTCATAGCAAATAAAATTCTAGGTTGGCAATTATTTTACTTCAGCTTACTAAAGTGCATGCCATCTTGCTTGGCTGCTTTTTTATTTTTTGTAGAGATGGGATTTAACCATGTTGCCCAGGCTGATCTCAATTATGTTTTATGTGCTGAAAACACCATCCAAAAAGAATCTGAGTTTTTATATTTTTCATTTCTAGATTTTCTTTATGATATTTTCAAATTCTGTGATAACTTCATAGTTTGAGGTTTCCTGCAGAAATTTCCTTTATTTCTTTTGATGTGTTACATATTGTTCTTTTATAATCACTGACCCATTAATTCCAAAATACGTGGAGTCCTATGGTCCACTGCTGATCTAAACTATTTATTCTACTAATTATTCACATGGACTAGTCTTCCTGCATGTCTGGACACTGAATAGTATTGAGTCGAATCTAAGATACAACCAATTATAAGACATACCATTTATTTCAGGTACTACTAAGAAAGAAAAACAACACCAATCAAAGTATATAACGATTCCTATAGCTTAGAATTTTTACTTCTTATTTGAAGCTTCTTATGTAACTAGATATACATTTTTATCATGTTGCTCTTATGTGTAAAGGAAAATATAAGATAAAACTGGTTAAGGTATTTCTGATAACTCACATTCAGCATCTGAATCTTCTGAATCATTTTTCCCACTCAGGGTCATAGACTTTCAGTTTTTCTAAACAGTGCTGCTGCCGTGCTACTAAAAACAAAGGTAGTTCTTTTTTCTTTCTTTTTTCCTCCAATTAATCCCAACAATGTGGTGATGCTGCATTTCTTTTTTCTTTCCTTTGATGCTACATTTCTAGATAGTGCCATACTATGCCTCTAGGAGTTTTCTTCCAAGCCAATGACATTCATTTGGCAAGGTCTAATGCTGAGGTTACCTTAATCTTACCAAAAGAAGCCCACAGATTTTTAGATCACAACTAGAATTTGCTTCCCTTTCTTAAGTGGTCATTTTAAATGGTCTGACTAAAAAATGCAGTTTTTCAGTAATATCACAAATGACAACCAAG